ACTTCCATTACTTGATGACCCTACTACTACTACCACCTCTGTTATTATTGAAGCTGAGATCATGATATGTGGCGGTGCACCAAGAAACTCATTTTTGCAAGCCTTTAGACATAAAACCTACCTGCGTGCATCTTCTTCATGTGGTCGTTTAAAGGTAATCAGTAAAACAGAAACAAACCCTAATTGGGTAATAGTAGAAATGCCTATCCCACGAGTCATGGGTGACATGCTTCTCCTTCCAACTGGTGACATTATCATAATAAACGGTGCTGAGCTCGGTGTTGCTGGTTTTGACAATGGTCGAGTCCCAATCACTAGACCCATCATATACCGTCCATCTGAAGATCGATTCTTCATCATGTCACCATCTTCAAAACCAAGAATGTATCACTCAACAGCTATTCTTTTACCAGATGGACGTTTATTAATCGGAGGAAGTAACGCACATATTTACTATAACTTCACCAATGTCGACTTCCCAACTGATTTGAGCTTAGAAGCTTATTCTCCACCATATTTATCAACGACATATCGTCTTTTTCGGCCAGTGATTTTAAAAGTTGATGAGGTGTTAACGCATGGGGGTTTATTCTATTTAAGCTTTTTTGTGAAGCAGTACTTGACGTCCGATGTTTTAATGGTGCAAATTTTCGCACCACCGTTTGTGACTCACTCATTTTCAATGAAGCAGAGAATGATAGTGTTGAAGATTATAAAAATTACTCATGATAACCGAGGTGGAAGACGAGATTGGTTTAATGTGACAGCAGTTGGACCGTCATCTGCAGAGATTGCACCACCAGGTTATTATTTGATATTTGTAGTACATGCTTCTGTACCGAGTTCTGGTGCTTGGGTAAAGATAGAATGAGTATAGAATAATTAGAAGATGTGGGTAAAGATTATAATTATTGCACGTTTTCAATGGTTAATAATGTTCGAGTTTTGTTTTTATCCTTAAAAAAGAATATTTAATTTAGTCACAAATTTTTATTGTTTTAAATTTAAGATAGAGTTGAAGAGTGGGATACATGGGAGTAAAGGAAACAAGATGAACGAAGATGTACGGGAGTCCACTCATGTGTGTGTAAATGTGTATGATGCGTTTGTGTGTGTGTGTATATATATATATATATATATACATATATGAGTGGGGGATTTTGTGTGAGTAAACCCATGATGATCATTT